ACACACACACACACACACACACACACACAAACAAACAAAAAAACGAACTTCCCCCCTTTTTTTTTGGGAGGCCCCACGCGGCCTCAAATTTTTGTTAATATTTTTTTGTGGTTTATGACGCGACATCCCACTCGGGTCTAAAACACCCCTCTCCAACTTTTTTTTTTTCTCGACCCCTTATTTTCGGGGTGCGCCGCACCCCGTGCGCGCGCGTCGTGCGCTATGCGCAGTGCGGCGCGTGTGCGTGGTGCAACGCACGTCGATGCGCCTCAAGTATGCTAATTTCGGAAGTGTGCCAGCCTGGTAATATGACTTGTTTTATTTATTTTTCCCACGAGTCAATTTCTGCACTACGGTGGGACAAATTACAGGCTGTTCTAGTGCAGGGAATAGTTGTTTCTGTTTACATGAGCGAAGAGGGGAGTAGCGGTGAGGAAGCTGATGGACCATTGACGAGGAGAGTTTCATGAAGCATACCTCTTGTATTTCCGGGATTAGGTCCAGGGGAGGAGAGGAGGGAGGCTTAAGAGAGAGGCTGCCGAGAGGAGGCAGGCAAAGGCCATCGCGTCGCAGCCGAGTCAGATGGCTGGCGTGCAGTCAAGCCAGCCCCATATCCCTCCTCTCGAGGAGCAGACATTTTTGGGCGGTGCTGCATGTTGTCAGCAGATAGAAGCCAAGCTCCGGAATGCTGACATAGAAGAAGCCAGAGCGGTAAGTAGAAGAAACCGGCTAGTGAGTAGACATGCGTACAAGGAGGCTTATGAGGGGATTGGTGAGAGTGGTCTAGGGGATACACAGAGTACTGAGACGGAATGTGTTGAACCTGCATGAGGCTCGGTGACTTCTTCTTCTTCTTCTTCTTCTTCTTCTTCTTCTACTACTACTACAACTTCTTCTTCTCTTCTTCGCTTCATTCTCATCTCTGTTACAACCTCAAGGCTTTGACCAAAAATGGACAAAATATAAATTGAAATCCTGCAATGTCATCCAAGTAGCTTGGATTAACACTGTGACAGGAAGGGCCTGGAATAACTGGTGCTGAGCTTAGAAGGCATGAACCTGGTCATTAAGGTGTGTGGAATCCGTGCTCTCTTAGCCTGAACCTCTTCCTAGTAGTGGGACGATCCTGATGGATGTCTCCGAACATAGACAGGCGATTTTCTGTAGTCAGGCATGTTCTGAGCATTATGCTGTACAGCTGCACTTTGTGCCAGTTTTGCGCGCGCCCACCACAACCATGCTAGCAGTACTCGGGGGTCGGGGGGAGGTCGTGGATACATGAGCTACGGGCTTGACGAGGGGTTGTTTTGCCCTCCTCCGCTGTGCTGAACTAAACATAGTACTGGTAAAGGTTACACAGGGTAAAGGCCTGAAGAGGACTTGTCTCATCCTTCTCCCCTGTGCTCAACTAGTACTGGTAGAGGGCTCAGGCTAGGTTGGTCATGCTAGGTTCGAGGGTTGGTAGATTAACATGGGCCAGCGAGCTGTGCTGCTTTGTCATTGACTAGACTCTGAAACTCCGTCCACAAATGCGATGCCTTCTATGCATGTTTTCTGTTGTCATGAGGATGGCCATTTGCTCAATTTCTGAGTTTGATTGTGGCACTACTTTCTGAAAAACAAAGATTACAAGAAATTGCTCAGTTCAGGGACTCTAGCGATAACGGTGGCAATACTCAACTTTGAGACAATGCCATCCATCACTCGTGAAGAAGAAGAAGAAGAGACAAGGGAAGCTTTAAATTCCGACTTCCAATGAAGCATCAGGGACAAAGAGTGATGTGTATGTTTGTGTATTGTCTGCGCTCCCTTGTAAAGCATTCACTTCTGTGTTAAGGACAAACAGAAAGAGGAGAGGAGGGGGGCGGGGGGTTACAAGACAAGACTCGCACAAAATCTCAAGATTCAACTGCATCCACATGCAAGGGAACTCTTCAGCCAATTTCAAAGGTCAACAGAACCCAGAACCTAAGCTCACCTCTGGCTGACCCAGAGTTAAGTTCATTGCCAGCAGCCAGCGTCACAATCAAAACTGCCTTGAAGAGATGGCTCTTCCGAACCTGCAGATTCCAACCCACCCACCAGTCAGCATACAACCACTTTTCTGTTTTCTCCTGCCCTTTTCCTTATGCACTATTCATTTCAAAGGATAAACAAAGGGGGGGAGCCCTAACAAAACCGACAGGATTCAAACCACTTACAGCAGAATGCACACATACACTGGTGCGCGACAGAGTGACAACCCCCCCCCAATGCGACGATCCAGGCCCTTTGGCCATGTAGCAAAAGGCCCTGCCCGCCCTAAGTGAAAGCGAGCCAGGCAAAATAGAAGGCGCCCCTAAGCGAAGGTCGGCCCGAATGAGGGCCCTCAGGTTTGTCGACAGTGGCCAATCTCTGCAGCTGGCAGGCCCAGCACACCAGTTCGTTACAGAGGCTGGGTGTGGACGATGACCCGGTAGGCCTCAGGGACTGCCTACTGGGACGGGAAGACTGGACACGGCCTCCACAAGAAGCACAAAAGAGGGGAGGCCGCCCAGACAGATACATCTGGGCGCTTGGCAATGAAGCAGATCTGAGGGGGACGGGGTGGTCACAGAGGAACAGGGGGCTGGAGGAAGGGCAGGTGTGCACCACGGCTGGGGGCATGCGCTATTTTTCATAAATAATACAAAAAGGGGGAAGGGGGGGAGGGGGAGATCACATAGAATCTGCAGCCATACTCACACCAGGAATTTCCTGGATGTATCTGGTCGCTTCCACGGTCAGGACATCAATCATGTCTTCAGACAAGACGAAAAAGTCCTACCTTCTTAACCCGAAAAAAACGTACGTACCGTGTATACGAATACAACGTACGGGGTACGTTGTATTCGAATACATCGTATGTACGTTATAGAACGAGTTTTAGGGTACAACTTTTCAGAAGCCTGTAGTACCGCCATTGTTTTTATTTTTATCTCAAATTTGGTTGGGAATTTCGCCAAGACCCTCAGGCAAAAGTTGTTTGCATTGCAATGTTGTGCAACATACTTTCTTTTCAGATTTTTTACTGAAGTTTTTTTTTTAAATCGAAATTCTGGAAAAATCAGTAAAAAACTGAGTACGGATCCGGGCCGCCCGGTCGACCAGCGCCTGCCCGCGGGAGGTCCCGGGCGGCCTGGCCGGG